AAGTGTCTCATGAGTAACATTCAATTGTTTCACAAGATAGTAAACATAATCAAGCAAAACATAGCATAGCATCGTCTATAGGTTCCACCCTTGGCACTGAGAACGGGAGCACAAGAGGCGTAACATGTCCTTCAGACTTAAACAAAGCTAAAAAAAAAATCCACCACCGAATTCTTTATATCGTCCTCTGCACACAACCATCCCATGGTCTCGTCCTTGATCTGTGAGATATAGTTAGAATTTCTCATTTGTTTCACCATTGATTAAAAAAAAGGAAATATTGGCATCACCCTCTTTGAGCCATTTAACAGCTGTCTTTTGATGCCAAAACTCCTCCTCTACCGACAACTCCCTCAAATACACAGTTTGGGCCTCATTGAGGCATAACTTGGAAGATTCATTGCACAGTGAGTCGAACTCCACCTCTCACTACTTATGCAGGTCCTTTGCCATCTTAACTTGAAGAAAAAATATTTTCAAAAACTTGCTTACTCCAAATTCTTAACTTTGCCCGAGTGGCTACCAATTTCGAGTAGAAATGGACCATTCCAACTCTTGACACAGAGTCCCTCCACGCCGTCGAAACCAAGTCCATGAAAGGAAAGGTGTTTATGCCATATGTTAAGATGTCTTAAGGCAGGAACCAAAAGTGAAGCCTTACCCACCCGAATTAGAAGCGGAGAATGGTCTGACCTACCCCGATGAAGATGAAAGACCTTAGTGAGCGCATGCGCGCCCGCCCAAGTAGAATTCACTAACTCTCTATCCAATCGGTACCAGATCGAGCCATTCATCCAAGTGAATAGGCTACCATCAAAATCGACAGTGGAAATACCACAAGTGAACATAAAAGAGTTAAACTTCTCCATATTGGTGACATTTACCAGCAAGTCCTCACACCTTTCTTCCGCTATCAATACCACATCAAAATCTCCAGTTACAATCTACGAGTCAAGCATTCTCATAGTAAGATCCTCAAGGGCCTTCTAGAGCGGGAGCCTACCTACTCTCGAACATTTAGCATACACCGCGGACAAATATAGAATGCTGCCAGAGTTTCCAACAAAATGGTCAGATTTGGCCTTTGCACCCATCATGAGTTTCCATCAATTTTCCACCAATAAATCACTAATTTGAACACTAATCCAACATTAGATCCATCATCAAACATTATTTCAGCCATCAACACAGAGGTGGGAGTTCATAGAGCCCACCTTCCAATTTTTCCAACAACAACAACAACCCATATGAAAATTCAAGCTCATAAGTGTAATTTAACTTCCCTAGGACAAGAATTTTAGAGTGGATCATTACCTACTTTGGTTGATGAACAAGTCAGAAATTTTGGCCCCTCCTTGCTCCTAAGTGAACCGTGAAAAGCTCCCCCTTTTTAGTTAGATGTGATCTCCAAGTCTTAAACTAAGTAGTGTTAAAATTTAAGAGGATTTGGTAGTGATTTGAGCAAGATTTTAGAGTGAAAAGTTGAAGAACTTTGGTTGTTTCTTTGTAGCTTGATGGCCGGCCAAGAGAGCTAGGAAAATGAGATGTTTAGTCTGACTTTTTGGCTTACAAAGGAAGCTTAAAAACTAAGAGTTTAGGTGCGCAAAAGTCAACCGTAAATAGTGCGCATACACGCGTGTTTTGTGCTCGATTCCTTTCGAGTTTATTTTGCTAGTGCACTAAACCTCTAAGGCACTTGTATTCATATAAATATTATTCACTCTTAATTGTCCCAAAATAATGGTCCAAAGTCTCTCAATTAAGCGCACGCGTGAAAACGCGTATTTCCAATTTAGACGCGATAAAGTGAAATCTTCGAGAAATTCTTGTAACGATCGTATCACTAACTATCACTTGAGTGTTTAAACCTAAATTTAACTATTTTAAAACCATTGTACATGTCTCCAAGTTTTGAACTTATTGTACTCCCGAACAGTTAAAGTTTTCAGACACGTTTTCACTATTTTCATTAATCGAGCTTCCAAAAAATTAATTTTTGAAACGAGTCACTTTAAAAATATAATGAAGTCATAACTCCATGTATTTAAGTCTAATAGGGCTAGAAAATAATAATCGAAGCAAATATTTAAATAAATAATTAAATGAGCTTTGGCTTACAAAATCTGATACGTAAATTGCAATTCGGTCCCTATACTTTTGAGTAATTGTATTTTGGCCCAAAACTTGATTTTCTTTCAATTAGATCCTTAATCTAATTACAATTTTGGTTCCTAAACTTTATTTTTCTTTAATTTTGACACTAATCTTTGTAATAATTTTAATTTGACCCCAAAAACGTTCTTAATTTTTGTAATTAGGTCCCTAATAGCTTTGATTTCTTAAGTATAAATTGTCTATCTTCTTTAATTATTAATTATATTTCATTTAAATGCTTTTAATTGGTAGATTTCATAGTTATTTCCATTTTTTATAATTTATTTGTTAATTAAATTGGTGTTTTGACCATTTTGTTGATTTTGAAGTATAAATAGGGCAAATCCAACCTTATTTAACCACTAATTCAAGAGAGGTATTTTCTAGTATTATTTTAAATCCTCTTATGTGCTCCTATGTGCTTTTTGTGTGTGATTGCATGTTTTGAGGGTTTTTTTCCTTGTATTTACTCATTTTATTCTTTATAAATTTTTATTTATTATATTTAATTTTTGATGATTATTTGGACTGCATTTAAATGCCAAATTGTAATGGATAGATACTCAAGAGATGTATTTAACTAGGCTATGTAATAGATAGATTTTATTTTTGTGAAAAATGTAATTAGTTAGATGAATATAATAGTTAGGTTAATATTTTTCAAAATTTCCCCTTTAGATTGTAGTTAGGACTCCAAATGTAATAGTTACATCTTTATGTGCCTTTATTTGTTTATGTGCTTGCATTTTTGTGTGCTTATGTGTTTATTCGCTTTTTTTAGGGTTTTTATAGCTAGATATTATGCTTATGTGTTATGTGCTCTATGTGTTTTATATGTTTACTTGATTTAATTATATTTTATTTATTTATAAAAAATATATAACGTCACCACACTAGTCCAACGCTAGTTATGGCCTTTTTTTCGTTTTCTTACTAGTCCAATATTAGTGAGAACTTATAGACATGGATTAGTCAAATGCTAGACAGTTAGGGCCACCTACGTGCTAAAATTACATGCTTGTATGACATTTATTGCATTTCATGCATATGTTTATTTTTAGGGTCTTTTTTCTCATCTTGCATGATTTTTCCTCTATATATTATCTCCCTTATCCCTATGTGCGTAAAACACGACATTTAGACTTGCATTCCATTTAGAAAAATAGAAATAAATTAGTTTATTTGCTTGATTAGGTTAGAAAAGTCACCTTTCAAATATGAAAAGTGAACGAGTATGGTTTCTTAGTTTTAACACGCTCTTTTTCCCTGTACAAGAAGGAAAATTTGAATCACGAATTTTAGGATCCCGTACCCGTTATGTTGCATTCTCTTTTTTTAGATCATGTATATTTATCTATATGTTATAACTTCTTTTTTGAGTCTCATATTTTGCACATTCATGACCTCTTCTAAGAATCATTTTTCTGCGTCGCAATTAATTTGATTTGCACCAATTAAATTTTGAATAAACATTCCAACCCTCCTGATGCCCCCTAGGTCTAGACTCGCATTCATATAGAAACATCGTAATGTAATAAGTTGTATAGGTTAGACTACGAAAATTTTCGACTAAATTTCGCAACTAGTTTTGACTAGATTGAAAGAGCACCTTAGGTTTGAAACTATCAAATCCTTGTCTTTCCTTTTTTCAACCGTGACTCCCAAACTCTCTTCTCTTGTTTTCAAAAATCTGAAGTCGTCTAAAAGTTGTTTTATTTATTTATTTATTTAAAAATATATTTTGGATGACTTGGTATACCTAAATTCAATACCAAGTGACAACTCCTATTTTTCCTATAAAATCCTTTTTAGATTATTATTTTGGATCCAAACTGTCACATTTTCTAAATCCCATATTAGGCCTCTTTTTCTTTATTTATTTTCTAAAATCAAAATCTCATTTTTTTCAATACCTAAATTTTATTTTCAAAAAATGGGCTGCGACACCATTATAGAGGTGAAAGAGATGGGGAGGAATGAGGCATATTGGAATTAATTTTCACTAAATGACATGAGTTAAAGGTTACCTTGTAAATATTCTGTTGCTTACTGCATGTAAGTGCACATTCTATATACCATGTGGTATCAGAGCTACCTTCTAATCATGTCATTAGCCCAAAATTTCATGGTTTATTAGTTATGTGATAAGAGTTGAAAAGATTCATATAAAGTTAAGACAAATCAAATCTAATTTGTCATGAAATATGTAGTTCCATTATCTAAATAATTGAAAACTAATCGCTAATCACATATAATGTTTTTATGTAAATTTTAGTTTCACTTGAATTTGTTATTGTTCAATAACACTACAGAAAAAAGATTTCTAGTAACAACAATCTTTGTCAAGAAAAGTTATGTATTTCGTCAAGAAAAGTTTTCGTGACGTCAGTGTCGTCAAGGAAGATTGGTCACCTTTACGCCGTTGGCAAAAGGTTTTCCTGACAATTAGTGGAATTCTTGTCAGGAAAAGTGTCATTTTCTGTGACACATCATTAGGAAAGGTAATCGTAATGATTTGGTCGTCAGGGAAATACCTCATATTCTTGACGAGCCTTTGTCAGGAAAGACCCTGAACTTTGTCACTAAATTTTCAATTGTCAAGAAAAGTCATGCATTGAAACTTGCTTAAAACTTTAATGACAATACAACGTCATTTTTCCTGACGACAGCTGCATCACTGTAACATATTAATTTCTAATTTCATCATTTAGCATTTTTAAGCTCAACAATTTAAGTGACAACAAAGTGACCATATCATCTATTTAGACACTCCACCCAATCAAAATATAAAGGTATGCAAGCAAAATATCAACAAAACTTCACAAATTATCATTAGTAGGCAACCATAATATGTCAAACCACAAAAATTAACCATGTCAAACATTTACAAAAAATTAACCATGTCAAACATTTACATATCATCACATTCCACGATTTGAAACCAATATAAATATTGCTATTCCTCCCTAGATAAATGCCATATACCTAACATATGCTAAAACCAAAAGATGGACTTCAATTCCATGGTCAACAAAATATTAGAGATGGATAATATCAAAATAGAGGAGTTCTTCAGTATGAGCCAAAAGCAATCCACAAGTTCATCCCAAACCTATACAATAAAACCAAGAAAAATCTGAAATCAGAGAAATAATAGAATGGCATTCAAAAGATGTATTTTTGTTATGATGCATGGATGATCACTACAAATTGCTTAGGAACCACCTAATCATGAGTACAAGCAATGCATTAGCTTCTACAAGAATAATTACTATGCTGCAGGTAACCAATAATACACCAGGAAATACAAATCATAACATAACTCAAGTTGTTCCACAATAGTAAGTAATTGCACGTAAATACATTTGTTTCGAATAATGATCTACAAACTCACCATTACTAGGAAGACCATCCACACTACTTCTGTTTCCAAACGAGGAATTCTTACAGCATTTCCTCTTTAACCCGTTTCTCCTCATGCCATCTTATGTCTTTAGCAATTTTAGAAAAAAAGTCTTTGCAACCTAGCTTTTAATGGAAAGTACCACATCATCTTTTGTGGAACTTTCTTTTCCTTGCCATTATTGACTTTCCATCGTGATTCTTTAAAAACAGGATACTTGTCCATCTTTTCATTTTCTTTCCAAAACAATGAACAATCAAATTTGCAAACATCAATTTTTTGATACCCCAAACCTATACCAGATAGAATTTTCATGGCCCCATAAAAACTGGATGGAAGTATTTCTCCTTCTGGTAACGCATCTTTTAAAAATTCTAGCATCATGTCAAATGCCTTGTTAGTCACATGGTTCATCACTTTGATATGGAGAAACGAAACAATGAAACACAGCAGGGAGTACTTTTTGCATCCCGGGTAAAGTTCTCTTTGTGCATCATTTAACAATATATCTAATTTTTTTGAATCCCATTCACTCAATGTCCCTGATTCATGTGCATTTCTTATCTCATCCAATAAATCAGGTAACTCATCAGATTCACTGTTTTCATTCATATCAAAGTCATTATATACAGTTTCATTAAGGAAATCTGTCTCACCTCCAACGCCATTCTCATCAAGGTTATTGTTCTTTCCACTTGACATATAAGAGTGTGCAGAAAATGGTTCCCCATAGAAGACCCAATTTTTTATAATATATACAAAATCCTTTTTCTGATAAATCTGATTCAACTTGAGAAATACTTTTTCTCTTTGAATTCCTACATCTCCTACATGGACAAAATAATTTTCCATCCAATCCCATACCATTGGTCTTAGCAAATTCAATAAAATCCTTAAGACCAGACTTATAATGACTTGACAAAATATTTGGATCATTTATCTAGCTCTTATCCATTTCCGATACCTAGAATAAGAAAAGTCTTAACTTACTAAACTCAAGGCATTGTCAAGATGAACAACTCAAAAAGGAGGAAAGACAACTTCTAGATATAAAAAGATAAAGGAGGCAAAAAAACATAGAATTATTCACAATTTACCTACTTTTTATGGCTCAATTATGAATTCCAAGCTACTTAGATTATTCATTGATTACACCAAATGGTATACCACTCAATAAAACTAAAAACGCATTCCTGATTGTACTATTCTCCTTGTATAGTATATAAGAGAGCATTAAAGATCATAACCCATAACTTGATTTACACAAATAAGGATGTAAACCATAACATAATTTGCAAGAAACTAGCAGTCATGATAAACACTTTTTATTCTTTATGGTAAGCTACCAAATAACCACATACCTCAAATTATGCAATCTTTTTTCTGGTTGTTCCCTTTCTTCTCTGTCAAGGTAGTGAGAATGCAGGTCTGCTCTACTGAATATGAAGAAATGTGAAATTAGATATTTTAAGAAAAATGTTTTTTTTAGTAACATAAAAAAAGAACAAAAATACCTTCCTAAAGCCTGATTAGAATTGTAACTATCCCATTGATCTTCTATTCGAACCAATCCCTTTCTAGACAAAAAAGACGAGCGAGGGGGAGGACAAAACACATCAACCTATGGAGTAAAGATTGGTAATGTATATAACTAAAATCGTGAAAGGAGCAAAAGATGGTACAAGATAAAATATACACATTATTGTTTGACATAAAGGCCATTCAAATGTTGATTGAAATTGCAACCCATAATGACTGACAATTATGAGAGCTAAATAAACTAGAAATGAATGCAAAGAAACAAAAGAAAAGAAAATCAACAAGTTTGTAAATTGCTAATTATTCTACCCAAGGTATCCTGAGTTATTTCAGCATCCAAAAATGAATGGTAGAAACTAGTAACTAATCAAACAAAAGATATTTGGTTCCATTAACCATATCTGAATATACAAAACCCATTGACATTAAGGATGCTGACCTGAAATTTATCTATTATCTTCACCTAAAACAAAATATAACCACCTCATATAAAAGCCACTCAAATGTAGTTCAAACTATGCAGACATAAGTATAAAAAAGACTGGATTATAGTAAACCCATTTTGACTAAGCAAGTCGAAATTTTCGCTTTTTTGGCCATGAAATCCAAACAACATTAACACACTTCTAATCTAATAACCAATATTCGTACCAGGACATATAACCCAAGAATAATTTAGAAACTTAATTGTAATTTAAGTACATATTCTTAATCTACAGCTGCATTGTGTAAATAATAATTCTATTTCATGAAATATCGATCTTTCATCAAAAGGGTAAGCTAAAAATTGTAACTTTTCTGTTAAATAGCGAAGTAACAAAACTTACAAAAAGACTTGCAGCTATTGTACTAGAAAAAAGCATTAGAACTACCAAAAAAAAAAGAACAAAAAACCTATCCTAGGTTTTGATGAACAGAAAAATGGAGAGATGAATAAAATACCCACTATAAAAATAAAAAAAGGAACCAATTAAGGACAAAATTGAAGGGGGATTTGGAGAAAGGGAACTGATTCAAGACAAAATTGAAGGATTATTTGATTTTTACATCACCTTAGACCATCGTGTTGTCTCTCTTGTTGAAAGAGATGAAGCCAAGTTCAGAGTTCGTTGTTGTTCTCTGTTGTTGGAGATGAAGACAAGTTACAGATTTGGAGAAAGTGTTTCTTTGTTGTTGTTGTTCCAAAAGTAAGAGATATGGGAAAAGTGTTTCTTTGTTTCCCGGTTTCTATGTCATAAGTATGATGTCCTTCTAAATTCTTTTTTCGTCCAAAAGGGGAAAAAAACTTGTGGGAAAAAAATGGAAGGAGAATGAAAACTTTTCCTGACGAATTGATATGGGGAAAGTAACTTTAGACAATGAAATAAATAGAAAAACATGTTTAAAGTAGCAGCGCCTTTTGAAAGACATTTGCCTTACCGGTTGTCATAAAAAACATGGTTTTCCTAACGAATAGGTTGGTTGTTATGAAAAATTTGTCACGAAAGAAATAATTTTTTGTAGTGCAAGACTAATACTTAATTTGTGGTTTGTATTATCATGAAACACACTATAAAATAAGGATCATTTGATCAATAAAGTTGGACCTGAGTAACATATATGAAATTATTCATAAAGTCATTATAGAACTTTGGTAGAAAGTATAGTATATTGTAATACATGGAAGGAAATGTTCCCTAGGAGAGCATGACAATCATGTTTCGTGTATTATTATTTTTAACTAACCAACTGTTACATAACTGATAAGTTTTTTGAGTGACAATAAGGACTTATAGCTACTCTTAAATATCTAGTCACTTTTAATTTATCTAATTATTCCATAGCTTCAAGTGGGAGAATGTAAAACTTGTTTCTTTTAGAGGCAACTATGGCCTATATGATTGATTGTAAAATGATTGATAGTCTAATTAATTGATTAGTATTTTGTCAATAATTGATTAATATCTCCTATTAATGATAGTTGATTGGTATCTTCTGTTAATTGATATGTCAATCAATTAAATAATCAATGAAATCAATCAATTAGTCAAAAATATTATTTTTACCTATGATTTATGGTAACATTTCCTTGATGGAGGGAAGCCTTAAGGATTTGATATTTGCGAGTAAGAGGTTCTTAGCCTAACCAATAAATAGCATGTGATAATCCCTCTATTTTATGGTATTCTTTCGGTTAGACATAGGCTACAATCTCCCTTACTTTAAATCAAAATTCTTTCTTCTTTTATATTATTGTATTATAAAGAAGAAGGAGAAAAAAAAAAGGAAAGAGGCATATTGAATTTAATTTTTGGTTGACGGCATTGGTTAAAGGTAATCCGATTAATATTCCGCTGCTTAGTACATATAAGTGTACAATTTGTATAACAGTAAAACAAAAAAGGAACCATATAGTCATATATATAGGTTGAGAATATTTTTCAATATACAAGGATTAGACTTTGCATTCAAATTATATATTTGTATGCGTCTTTTCTCTTTCATAATAAAAACTTGATTTTTTTCTCTATGAATGTAGATTGGTAGTTGACTGTGAAGTTTTAAATAATACTCAAACTTTCATTATTGTAACTGCACAAGTCGTGTATGAGTATAGAGAATATTCGAGTATTAGTCCCATATGGAAGAAGAATTAATTATCGATGTTATTTGAACTCCTTTATTATTTAGATGATCCAAATTAAAGCAAATAAGTCTACAGTACAAACATGTAATAAAAAATAAAAAATAAAGAGATTCCTAGGGGTTATGGAATTTCTAACTACTCTTACAAATGAAGTTATTGATTAAATGAGTATGTTTACTTTGGTTTAATTATCACATGATTTCCTAATTTATGTGATGCACGCTTTTATTGATGTACCAATCATACTTATAATTAATCTATACCTACTTACGTGGTTATAAAATTAGCTATAAGTTTATTGGTTCTCCATGAAATTACTTGGATTAAAATCCACAAATGTTGCTTCTCTACTTTCGTGAGTGTACAAAAAAAGGTTGGTATTTTCTTGAACTAGTAATGAATCCAAACTTTTATTGATAATTTAACTCCTTTAGATAATCACAACTGAAGGTAAGTTAATTATGATTTTTCTAGCGAAAATGCTAAATAACTTCCGCAAGATGTAGACATCAATTAACCAAGAAAATATCTCATGACAATCATAGAAAGTTCATCCATCCTTAGGTATAACAACTAGTAAAATATAAGAGAAATGAAAACAAGAACCAAATTTGTATTATAGCCAAACATGAGAATCCAAATACAAGAAATCAAGAGTTTAGGGAGAAAAAACCATGGCACATGAGTCTTTAATCTTTCTTTCTTTAATCTCCAATCTTCAACCATGTTTAGATACATACAAGATTAGGTAAATCTTAACTATCTCACGCTAATATAATGAATTTAGAGTTTCTAGTGAAAAATTACATTTCTAATAGGCTTTTCTAGCCCTCCAAAGTACAAAATCTATCTACATGGGTCCCTATTTATAGTGAAGGATGTATTAGTAACTTCTGCAAATGGCACAAGTTGCACAACTATTAGCCACCATTGTGGCTCCTTAGAATCTTCAAAAGTTGCTTCTACAAGTCTCTTAGATTCCTCTTGCAATTTGCAGTAGAAATTCGTACATGTGGAGAGTAAAAAAGTAGTGAGAAAAGGCTGCAAGTTGTTGTGTAACTTGTACCAACTGTAAAGTAGCTACAAAGAGGATCCATGCACTGGATCAGTAGACCTCATCTACAAATTCCCTTTGCGGGTCAATTGCCCTGTTTTCTATTATTGGTTCAAATGGATTCATGGACTAGATACATGGATACGTCCATAGATCCTCTCCATGGATCAGCTTCTGAGTTTGGTAGATGAGAACTCCATAGATCCTCTCATTAGTCGAATTAGTGAATTTGGTAGACGAGAACTGTATTTCTTTTACATAGAGTGGTTGTAGTGAGTGAGTTTCCATCAATCACTATCACTTTGATAGGAGAAGTCTGTACAGTTTTGAGTCCAAATTTTCTAACCACTTCAAGATGCATAAAGTTGTGAGAACTGCCACAATCCATCAGAATATTGAAGGCCTTGCTTCCATTCTACTCATGCATGCTCATGGTTTTGAAATAGGAACCATTATACTGCACATAGCATTTGCAGAAATCTGGGCTAGATTACCCTCAACTATTTTTTCCCCTTTATCTACTTCTTTTTCCTCTTGAAATCCATCCCTCTTCTTTTCAATATACTCAATTCTGAAAAGTTGTCTCTTCTTGCATTGATGGCCTATATCATATTTCTCATTACATCAATAACACAGCCCCTTAGCCTGTTTTTCATCCATTTCAATAGGACTAAGAAATCTAGAGGATCTTCTTGAACTCTTAGGACTAGTACCCATTATTTCCACAAGTTTAGGTAGCAACAGTGCATTACTGGAACTAGGATTGCCCGAGTGATAATTCGAAAATCTAGTAGCTAGGTCCATTGGGTGGAATTCTTGACATAAACTTGTTTTGCTTCATGAAGTTTAAGATCTTGGCTTCTTTTATCTTTGCCAACCCCACAGCATGCTGTAAAGTCTAAGGCATAAATATCTATTGGATATCCTCTATCAAACCCCTAATAAAGCAACTAACAACATAAGATTCTAGCAAGTCAAATCTTTTCAATAATTCTTCAAAAGATTCTTAATAATCTTTTACTAATGTAAGCTACCTCAACCTGTTAACATCACCCCTGGGATCATTATAAAGATAGTCTCCAAATCTTGTGGCGACCCCACTTCCCCCTGAGGCGACCCCACTTCCCCCTAAGGCGAACCAAAATGTTGGCGGGCCGTCTGCCCAACTCTCGCCTGGACTCATGCGAGCAATCTAACCCGAAGCCTTTAGAAGAATAAACTAATCTATTACAAAACCATTTTCCCCGAATAGAATCATACCTAAAGCCACATTAACTTCAAAGATAGCAATGATAAAATAACCAGTCGAGGCCCTTAAACGTCCTACGTGCTACTTACCAAAGTACAAAGTCATAACAAACCGGATAGATAAACTGCATAAATCCATAATACAACTTACAAGCCAAGCAATCGAATTAGGGTTTACACACTTTCCAGTTTCAAGTGGCAATCCAAAAAGGAAAATACATTATCCCAATAACACGTTACAGCCCACAGAATAAGTTATAGTATTCAAATACAGCCCAAAAGAAAAACATAATTAAGCATCCAGCTTTCAGTTTCCAGAACCTGTTAAGGAAAACAATAAACGTGGGGTGAGCTAAAACTCAGTGGTACCCCAAAACATGCAATCACATAATTTCAAACAGCGATTAATAACTGTACAAATTTAAACAGTTAGGAAAACGTATAACAACACAAGATAGGATACGTGGGCTCTCAGGAGCCATTTTTCCTCGCTTGATCACCATTTATCGTAGTTGACCCTCCGTCAACTCTCACTACTTATAATCCATGTAGAGCGTCTCATTTTGATACCTAACCTGTTTCCATTCATACCCCTGTCACGGGTCCGCTCACCGACTAAGGACGTAGTATACTCGAGATATACCCGTCATGGTAGTTGGATACAGAAGCCGAGGGATTCACCCAACGACGCAACTACATTTAGATTTATGGTAGTTGGATACAGAAGCCGAGGGATTCACCCAACGACGCAACTACATTTAGATTTATGGTTTCAGGAGAAAAATGTTTTTGCACAAGTCACCACTCGAACGGCTAGTGTGATAAAGTACACACAGCTCACTTCGATGGATCAGAAACCAATTTTTCAAATTATCACATATCAAGTCAAGAAGGTACTTTAAGCAGGTAAGCATAGAACAGGCAGGGACACTCACCAAGAGTGGAGTTCAGATATCAAGTTGGGGATCGAATTCCGCGTCCTCAAAAAACCCTAAAAACCAAAATTTGAAACTATAAGTTTCTACTCAGTTTTTAAGCTTATAGATATTGAGGTATATCTAATATACTACTAGTTCACTTTCCCTTAGAAAAATCAAGAATCTCCATAGGTTGAATTTTGACGAAAGTAGAAGAATTGTTTCCTTTAGTTTTCCTTGGAATACTTTTCTTATAAAAGGTAACTAGTATTATTTTCTTGAAATAAGTCGACAAACCTCTCAATATCAATGTTAGAAAGTTACATTGAACATTTCTCTAAAGTTACGGCTTTTGCAAAAATTATCCTTAAAAACTATTTTTCCTAAAATATGGTTTCTTGCCGAGCAAGTTTTCCAAGCTTTTCACTAAAATTAGTAAAACTCATATTTTGGAACTTTTCCTATAGTTAACTAGCCAAGAGAAATATTTAATGGAAAGAAAAGGAATAAAAATAAGACTTAGGGTTTTCAAAAGCTATAGAACTTATTTACTAAAGCTATCAAGGCTAGTTTGAGCTAAAGGAAATTATCGGGTTGGAAAGTTTTATGCAAAGCACTAGATATGGAGTTTTATAATATAATACTAGCTGGAAAAATATTTTTTTTGATTACTTTGATCACAGTTACTCGAGTTCGCATGGTCGATACAACTTCCACAGCTCCGATTCCGTTTCGAAATCATAATATGGATCAAAATATGGCAAAAATCACATAGCAATTTACTAGGGTTTCGTCAATCATTAGCCCTAGATTTCAACAAGTGCATTTCTGAATAAAATAAAATGATCAACCAAGGCTTCATCAATCATTAGCACTTGGTTTCAGCAAACCCATCATAAGCAAATAAAAATAAAAGTAAAGCCTCCAAGACATTCCAGCAATTAACTTTCATCACCCAGTAGTACTTATAAAATCATTCAAATGGCCAAGGGCTTCATCAATCATTAGCCCTTGACAAAATCAATTACTTCCAACCACAATTTAATCAAGAATTTAAACCACAAATAAGCTAAAATCTCAATCCAAAACCCAATTTCAATTTCACAAAGAAACAGGACATTCCTACCAAAACAGTCTACTTCAAGGATTTACAGACAGCAGTACACATGGAGGAAAAATACGAAATTTCTACAGGACAAAGGCCTATGATTCTAGCTTCAAATGCCACTGACGGCGCCTTAAACAGAGTTTCCTAAACCAAGATATAAACATTTTATTGGGACTGGTCAGGGACATCCGAAAATCTGAAATTTCAATTTTTCACTTGTGAAAACTCCTTTTTCTCTTTTAACACTAAAATGTTTTTATTCAAACCATCCATACACTTCTTATAGAACTTCAAAACAACATATTCCAAGCATTTACACCCAACAAGTTTCAAAAAAAATCAAGTTAAGGTTCCAACTCACCCTTTGGCTATCACTTAAGAATTTCCAACATGTATAACCCAACATTTTCTGGTTCCATTTTCAATTTATCAAATATTTCATTGCTAAACAACTTACACCACTTAAAACTTACAACTCCTCTGTATTTCTAAACCATCATTTTCCAAGGAAAATCCAGAAATAGGTTAAAATTCCAAAAGAAAACAAATTGAAAATTTCTGATCACACCTCTCGGCTATCCAGAATTTTCCAGCACTTAGGTGTTTATAAAGCCGACTTTTACTCGGCTAAAACATGGTTTTAGATACCCAAATTAGTCATGCAAAAACTTATCTAGCTAATTAATATTTCCAATTCAAAATTTAACTTAAACAACAGCTGCAAAACCCAAAAATTTCCAAAAATTCTGTTCAGCTAGCTTCGGACAAACATGCATGCAACAGATTGCATTTTTATTTTATTTTTCTGGTTTAACTAACTAATTAGCTGCATTCAGAGCTTAATTAACTTGTTATTAACCATCTAATCATGTTTATAAGCTTAAACAACCCATTAAACTAAATCAGGCTGCAAAAATTTAAGCTAAGCTCTCGGCAGTTTCTATACTAGCACATAACAGAATTATTTTTCTTAAAAAAAAAATAATCTCATCCGATTGCCTAACATCACATGCATGTCACTAGATCACTTAAGCTTCTTGTTTTTGACTAGCTAAACACTTAAACAAGCTCAGATTGTCGCAGGAAATCAGAAATAAGATTACAAATTCAAGCCAGCTCCTCGGCAGAAATTTGCTTAACTGAACCAGAAATTTTCTCTGCTTTAACATTTCATCCGAATGCACAAATCAACATGCATGGTCTTAATCTTCAAGTTTTCACTCAGCTAAAGACACTTAGGTGTTCAGATTGTCACACAAGAACACAATTGGAGCTGCAATAACACCTCAAATTCTCGGCAGCACAATTTATCAAAACAGAAATTTTCCTAATGGTTTGATTTCAGCATCCGATTGTATAATCTAAACATGCAAGCTCAGATGCAGCTTGTTTAACTAATAATCCACCCAATTAGACCAGAATTTACCTCAGATAGCAGCTAATCTTTCACACGAAATATTCCAGAAATTTCTTCCCTAGCTCTCGGCCAAGTGCAGTCGGTGGTTCCTGTTTCCTGAGTTGCGGCTGGAATTGGGTGTAGCTGGTGGATTTGTGTTCGGTTGGTTGGAGTTGGTGGAGATGAAGGTGAAAAATGGTGAAGCTTCCTGCAAATCTCCTCCCTGGCTTCACTTCCTGCAAATCTCCTCCCTGGCTTCACTCCAACTCACAGCAGAACCAGAAATTTCTGGCAGCTCACGTTCCCTCCTTCCTAGCTCACAGATGCAGCTCACCAAGTGGCTCTCTCTCTCGGATGCTCTTGGTCGAATGCAGAGGAAGAGGTGAGGCGTGTTTATGGAGAGGATTTGCAGTGGTTTCGGTGGAGTTGTGCAGAGAAGGAAATGAGATTCGATGAAGGTGGTGTCTCGGTATTTAGAAAGGAGAAATGGTTTGCGGTTTGGTTTTGTGCAGAGAAGGAAATTGAATTGTGTCTTGTGGTTGTGGAATGAAATGTGAAATAGAGTGATTGGTAGGGTGGTTTTAGCCGTGAGATAGAAAGAATGGTTTGGTGGTGCCGTAGTTTGTGAGAGTGGTTTACGTGTAAGAATTGATTGCGTATAACATTGGTTGCGTATCGAATTGGTTATAGCAATTGTGATTTGATTTGCAGTCAGACGTCTTGTTTGGTTTGCATGGAAAGGTAAGGTAAGGGCATTTTAGTCTTTTCACTTCGCTCCCTAACCTCAACTTAATTTCTCAATTCCATCTTAATTCTAAAAATTATCCCCAAGCGCGATTCAAACGCCTAATTATACTCTAATATACCTAAACCATTTTTTTATCGAATAATTATCGATTAAACTTGAATACTAAGGTTCCTAGTAATTCTTATATTATTTAGCGATTAAATTAGTTATTATAATTTCCAATTATTATTTCTCAAGAAATAGAGTTAGTCTAACTCAAACTTTATCGATTTAGTAATATAAAGTCAAATGAAATAATAATTTAATCCAAGGGTGTCAATTTGCACATAAAATTATTTTTACTCACTTATTTGACAACACAGAAAGATAAGGATATATTTATCGAATTTTCACGCATTAAGTATGTTTAGTATATTAGAATCATAATTATCTAAAGTTCATCAACATTTTATCTTAACGCGGAAATTTTTATTAACATTTTCCATTAGCAACTAATTGGAATTAATCATAAGGATTTAAATAATTTATTTTAAGATAGTAAATCTGACGATTCAATTATCATTAATTTTAGCATAAAGGAAATAAGTAATCTAACATTTTATTTTAAGGCGAAAAAAATTATTCCAACCCTAAAGATATTAATTTAGTCAAATAAAACCAAGAAATTTCATAACTTTGGAAAATTATATTATTTTTCACGTAAACCTATTTTTACGTACTTAATTGTGAACAATTAAAAGTAATGCTAGAAGTTATTGAACAATAAAAGAAATGCAAATTAAATATGCTCTAACTTATATATCCATTTTTCAGGGTTCTCACACTAACATAATCCTCCCAAGAAGGTGCATCCCTTGTAAGCCTTGCCTTCATGAAATCCCGATACCATTGGACTGCCTTCCTTTCAAGGTGCATTGTAGCCAATCGAACTTTTGCCTCAAAAGTGGTTTCATCAATTTCAAAAAAACTATTCACACTTATTCAGCCAGTTCTTGAAGTCATTACCCCTAAACTTGGGAAATTCAATGTGAGAAATCCTAGTTGAAGCTTGATAACTTCCTCTACAACTGGATTGCTAGCCTTGCTCAAATAGATTAGGAGACCCCTACGACCCCTGATTTCGCTGGGTATGCATTTCCAGAATCAGTGTCTTGATCACCCCCATTTCTTTTTAAAACTACTCTCATTGATCCTTCAACATATTCTTGGCACTTTTTTTGAACTTCCTATTCTCCTGAGCCCTTATACATTATGCATCCTTATCTTCTTAATGACTAGAGCTAGGATTAATCTAGCTCTAATATCAATGATACAACAGGTTGGAAGAGCTCAAAATTTTGCTCTAGGAGGGATGATTTGGTGAAGAACACCCCTTAAAGAAGATGGAAGAATTGTATTGAATTGAATGAATGAGTACAGTGAGGAAAATGTAATGAAGCAGAGAATTATAGCAAGCATAAGACAGACTATTTTCTACCTCTACTATTGAATTATACTACTATTAATTCGGTTATTGTCAAGGATAGTTGAGAGCATTATAACTGTCTCAGCTTCCTTTCCTTTGGCTTATGCTATGCGCATTACAATCTTTTAACAAAAGATATTAACAATAAATGCAAAATGACATCACTTTAAAATTTACAACTATACAAATGCTAGGAAAATGAATCCAAATTTTGTGAAGTTTATCAAGTGTTGACAATAAAACAAGGAAAAAAATCAATTCCAAAACCCACATTTATGAGAAGCTTGAAAACCACAGCCAAACTCATATAATTATCACAAAAAAAATTGTAGGATTATTAATCAAGTCTTTTTAGGATTTATTTATTTAGGAAACTACCTTTTTTCTTGTTTAGTTGTGATTTTCTATTGTTAGTGTGTTTTGGTAGTTTAAATTCTAATAGAATTTTGATACTTCGTACTTTATATAAAGACCATTACTTTTGGTATATTGATGTAAGAGAGAAAAAAAAGATTCAGAGTGTTAATAAGTAAAAGGCCTCCCAGTTCCATTTCTTCTGTTTCGTTTTCTAGCCTCGAGATTTCTATTGTCCTCTTCTGGTTTTTGTTCATTCAAAGATACAAGAAAGCCTTGCGGCTTGTTTCATGTCATTGTTTGTGAGTTATTTGTTTAAATATTATTTTGAGAACCCACATATTGGTATCCAAAGTTAGGTTTATTAGAAGATATATCTGCATCAACTGTTCCAACTAATATTACTTGTGTGGTACCCAAAAGTCACATGAAATAAATATTATAGTTTTGGGATGACTCAGATAGAAACTCATCTTGATGCGTGTAATTTGCTTCGACTTGTTCAGCAATGAATTGTTGCAAATAAAGATACAAGTGTCATAAGACAAGGCATTATGCCGCTATTTCAAATCCACCAAGCAATTGATGCTTTAATTTTTGGTAATGTTACTAATACCAAGACTATAGAACAGGCATGGGATATTTTGGCTAGGACATACAAAGGAGTCGATAGAACCTAGAAAAATAATCTTCTGATGTAGAAGAGGAAATTTGAGTTGATCACCAGCGAAAAATCAGAAACCATTGAATCATATTTTTTCCGATTGATTGACATAAAGAACGGTCATGATCTCACAACTAAGGTGCTAGTAGAAAAAGCCTTCAATACTTTACCCATGAAATTTAATCATGCGGTGGCTGTGATTCAAGAGACAAAATATCTCTCAACTGGGACCATTGAAGAATTACAGGGTTCGTTAATTCTTCAATGATGCAAGAAAGAAATGGTGGAGAAGGCGTTGCAAGTGTAGATAGATAAACTCAAGTAGAGGGGTGATATTTCCAATTAGAGGAACCAAAATTTTAGAGAAAGAGGACAAAGATGTTGTAGAGGCAATTTTTGAGGTCGAAACAAAGGTAATTTTTACCAGCAAAGAGGTAACAATTATCCCAACAATGAGTTAGAAAATAATAATAATTCTCGCAGACGAAATATTCAGTGCCATAATAACAAAAAAATTAGTCACTATAAAATTGAGTGTTAATACAATTTTGACAGCAAAGGCAAACATGCTAATATGGCAGAGAATGATGGTGAAAAGGATTAAAGTATTTTATTTTCTAACTTAGGGATGGAAGAAAGTAAGAAAAATAATTGGTTTTGGATTCTACTTGTAGTAACCATATGTATGATGATAAAAATATATTTGTTGATTTGGATGACTCTTTCAGATCTTTTGTTAAATTTGGTAATAATGAAAAAGTGTCTATGCTCAGGAAAGAAAAAATCAGGATTACTTTAAAACATGGTAAATCTTATTTTATCTCTAATGTTTCTATGTGCCGAACCTTTATCATTATTTGCTGAGTCTTGGATAATTTTTTGAGAATAGATATGATTTGCAATTTAATTGGTACTATTACTGATGATCATTTAGAACTAGTAGCAAAGGTATACATGAACACTAGCTGTTTGTGGCCCATATCACTTAATTGTCATGATTTACTTTGTTTTAGTTTTGGTATTTTTGATGATATTTGGTTATGACACAAGCGCTTTGGTCACTTGAATTTTGTGATTCTGAGTTTTCTTACTAGGAAGAATATGGTGTATAGATTGCCTTCTATTAATTTTTTTGCTAAACACTGTGAGTCTTGCATTTTGGAAAAGAAATACAGAGATCTTTTTCCTAAAAGCAAGGATTGGAGGGCTAGCCATCTATTGGAATTGATACATTCGAACTTGTGCTCAATTGAGGTACTTTCCAATAGTGATAGAAAATATTTTGTTACCTTCATTGATGATTTTAGTAGGAAAACTTGGGTATATTTTTCAAAGAATAAATTTAATACTTGTGATACTTTTAAGAGTTTTAAAGTGTATGGAGAGAAGCAAAATGGCAAGTTTATTAAAATTTTGAGAACTGATAGAGACACTAAATTTATTTTCTGTGATAATATTTTGAAAAAACATCGGATTGAGCATTAGTTAACAACTAGATATACGCCTCAACAAAATGAAGTAGCGAAAAGGAAGAATCGCACTTTGATGGATATGGTGAGGTGGATGATGCATGCCAAGAATATGCCTAAAGGTTTTTGGGTAGAAACTGTTGCTTGTACTGTATATGTTTTTAACGGGTCTCCTACATGATACAATGTTGGGAAGACATCACAAGAGTTATGGACTGGTAAGGAACCAATTATTTATTATTTAAAAGATTTAGTTGTCTTGTCTATTCCCATGTCCCATATGTGTCAGAAAGAAGTTGGATGACAATGCAGAAAAGTGCATCTTCTTGGTTATAGTCATGAAACCAAGGGTTACAGGCTATTCAATCTAAATACAAGGAAAGTAATTATCAACAGAAATGTCATTTTTGATAAGCAAAGAGTTTGGGATTGGTTCAAAAAAGTGTCAGATTCTATGCCAAAGCATCCACCAATGCCACTATCTAATCAACCAGTAGAGTAGTATAGACTACCTACTAGTGATCCTTTATTTTTTGGGATGTAGTCAAGTCCTGTGTAGTTATCTAGTCGTCCACAATGAAAACATCGCATGCCAACTCATTTGAATGATTATGTTATTGGTAATGATAATGACTTGTCTGATGAAGATATTGTATACTTTATATTTTATTTGCAGATTGTGATCCAATTATATTTGAGGAGGTTGTCAAAAATGATCACTAGAATCAAGCAATAGATGAGGAGATCCATGCAATTAAGAAAATTAAGACATGGGAGCTGATTTTACTTCCACCTAGGAAGAAGCCAATTAGTGTCAAGAGGGTCTATAAAACCAAATACAATCCAAATGGAGAGGTGGATCGTTATAAGGTAATACTGGTTGTTAAAGGATACAAGTAAAATGCAGGTATTCATTACTTTGAAATTCTTGCTCCTATCGCTAGACTTGATACTGTTTGTATAATTATATCTATTGCTACTACTAATTCTTGAAAGATTTATCAAATGGATGTAAAATCTATTTTCTTGAATAGTATTCTTCAGGAGAAAGCATATGCTGAGCAGCCTATAGGTTATGTGAAGGAAGGGTAAGAAAATAAAGTCTAGAGGCTAAACAAGGCTTTATATAATCTGAAACAAACTCCTTGAGTTTGGTACACTCGTATCAATTCTTACTTTGTCGGGAATGGATTTCATATATGTCCATATGAGCATACTTTGTATATCAAATTCAATACTGATAGTAATATTTTTATTGTATGTTTATATGTGGATGATCTAAATTTCACTAATAATAATTTCATTGTGATTTCTAAGTTCAAGGAGGTATGATTAGTCATTATGAGATGACTGATTTGAGATTGATGTCATATTTTCATGGTATTGAGGTTTCTCAAATAGATGATAGCATATTTATTATACAGAAGAAATATGCAGGCGACATATTGAAGAGGTTTAAATTGGATATTACCAATCCTATATTGACTCTAGTTAAAGAAAAGTTGAAATTGGTGAAAGATGGCAATGATGAATTTGTTGATGCCACTAATTTTAAGAGATTGATTGAGAGCCTGAGATATTTGTGTTAGAAGGCTAATTGTGCACTATATTTGTCAATAGTCCCCCCTTTATTTTGCCAAAAGATGGTGTTAATTGCTAGATGCTACTTATATTTGGTCTTTGATGTTGCTTTTAGGAAGTTGTGGTGAGAATGAAGTAAAAAGTGCATTAAAAGTCGAATTTCCAGAAAACAACACTTCATAAGGCGTGATCACGTCTTCACTTGCTGTGAAATCCATGCTTACGGGATTGGAAGTGGGCCACCGTTTGAAGATTTGCTGACATATTGGAAGGCTATTGGTATCTTTAGAAATACATAATCTATTGTGTCCATCTAGTAGTATTAGTTGAAAAGAAGTCTTAATCCTTTCCTTATTGGAAGTTGGAAGAATCATAGGAAAAAGGGGACTCTAATTAGTTTTCAAGCAAAAGACGTTTTCTTTGGTGGGGAGGCAGACTAGTTTTGGGAGTAAAAAAAAGAAGGCACGGGAGCATTCGGCCTGGACATCATTCTTTTTCCTTCTTTTGTCTTTTCTCTTAAACAAAAAAAGAAAAACCCTATTTTAGTTTTGCCTGCAAATCCATCATGAGGAGCGGCTAGTTAATCGAAACTTTGTTTCAACAACACTATGAGATCTAAATTGATTTCTTTGTTTCATTTATTTATAAGTATTCATATATTCCCTATTCATTCATGATTATGTTTATTTTCTACAATTAAATACCTTATCGCTATTTAATTGTTGGAATAGTCTATTGTCATCTAAAATACCAAATTTGTAATTGTTTGGTAGTTTTAGTGTTCGCAGGCAGTGATATAATTTGATTGTATAGAAACTTTCAAATTTATATCACAAGGATATATAATCTAACTTAAATTAATCGGGCTTGTGTGTTTGTTGATTAGAATTGGTAGTTTCTCTAATTAGCAATGCTGTCAATAGGTTAAATCCTAAGAGCTTGTTTAGGGTTGTTTAAGTGATAAGAAAAATAATCATAGAGCTTGTGTGTTTATCGAAACATTAAGGAGAGACAGGTCATCAGAACTTGTTGACAACCATAACCAGTTTATTTATAAATAATTGATTTTACTTTTGTGTCAATAATCAGTTAAAATGAATCAAAGTGGAGATTAGACCTTTGACTAGAGAATTATTTTTCTTGGTTTAGTTTTAATTAATTTTGTGTTATTGTCTTTATTTTTATTCAAGTGAGCTTTTTAGCTAATTTCTCATAATCCACCCTTTTTATTTATTGTCTTTCCAAAGGAATAAATCACCCAATCCCTATGGATACAACCCTATTCACTGCTACACTCGAATTCATATTATTAGAGTATGAATTTTTTTTTTTATTTTTACTGGTTTGACACGCCAACAAATTTTGATGCCGTTGTCGGGGATTGGTGTCTTTGTTGATTTATTCTCTTTAAATTTTTATTTTATTTTTATTTTTGTTTTATTTCGTTGCTAGTTTATGCCTCGCTCTGCTTGTATAGGTAAATTGCAACACAATCTTGAGATAGATAAGACGACACGTAGATTAAAAAAAAAACTAAGCAATGGGCAAAGCCATCATCTTTATTCCCTGGGTTAAAATTGGCTTCTAATTTGGTTGAATCTTTCAGTGAATTTGAAGAGGAGATTGAAACCATGGCGGATGAGAGAACTTTGAGAGAATTTGCTACTTCTTATTTAAATCAGCAACCTCTTTGCATCACATACCCTGCTTTAGATGTACCATTTGAGTTAAAATTTGGTTTAATTCATTTACTTCCTTCTTTTCATGGGCTTCCAGGTGAAGATCCTCACAAACATCTAAAGGAATTTCATATGGTATGTTCGACCATGAAGCCCCAAGGAGTCATTGAGAAGCAAATAAAATTAAGAGATTTTCCCTTTTCTTTAGCTGATAAAGCAAAGGACTTGCTCTATTATCTGCCATCTGGATCAATCACTACTTGGGCTGAGACGAAGACACAGTTCCTTAAAAAATTGTTTCCTGCCTCCTGGGCTACAAGCATTAGAAAAGATATCTGTGGGATTAGACAATTTAATGGAGAGACGTTGCACGAGTATTAGGAAATGTTCAAACACTTATGTGCAAGTTGTCCTCATCATCAAATCCCTGATCAACTTCTCATTCAATATTTTTACGAGAGATTATAAGCAACAGATAGGAAAATCATTGATGCAGCTAGTGGAGGAGCATTGGTAAATAAAACACCAATGGAAGCGAGAAGAATAATTTCAAGTATGGCAACCAATGGTCAACAATTTGGTGAGAGACAGGAATATGTCCCTAGAAAAGTCAATGAGGTAAGTACTTCTTCGATTGAATAATGATTAGATTCTCTAACCTCTTTGGTGGAAAGGTTAGTTATAGGACAGGTTCAGCACGCCAGAACATGTGGAATTTGCTATGCTTCGAGTCATCAGACTGATGTGTGTCACACTACAAGATAATCTGAATGAACACGCAAATGTAGTTGACGGATTTCCTGGCCCACCTCAAAGGCGCTATGATCCTTATTCAAACACCCATAATCCAGGGTGGAAGGATCACCTAATTTTAGTTATACTGCAAGGCAATCGGGATTTCACCAACAGCAATATCAGCCTAGGCCTCCAACTTCACAACAGCAACCAATTTCGAAATCAGGTACGCCCTTGGAAGAAATTGTTAAATCTTTAGCTACTAATACACAACAATTTCAACAGGAGATAAGAACCAGTATTCAAAATCTGGAGAATCAAATTATCCAACTGGCATTTACAGTTAATCGATTGGAGTCTCAAGTTTTAGGAAAGTTGCCTTTATAGATTGTTATCAATCGAAAACAAAATGCAAGTGCAATCATATTGAAGAGTGGCAAAAAGTTGCCAGAACCTAGTAAGAGAATTTCTGAGCAAGCTATTGAGAAAGAAGAAGTGGTACCCCAACATGTGCCACATCAAAAATCCAAAAATGAACCTCCAATAGTGGTGACACCTCCTCCTTCATTTCCCAATCAATTTGCAATGTCGAAGAAAGAGGAGCAAGAGCAAGAGATTCTGAAAACATTTTGCAAGGTTGAGGTAAATATTTCCCTTTTAGATACAATTAAGCAAATTCCTAGATATGAAAAGTTTCTTAAAGAATTATGCACTACTCAGAAAAAATTGAAAGGAAATGAAAAAGTGCACCTGGGTGAGAATATCTCAGCAGTGCTTCAGAAAAAGTTCCCTCCAAAATGTAAGGATCCAGGTATGTTTACTATTCCTTACAAAATTAAAAATATTAGGATTGAGAAAGCAATGTTAAATTTGGGTGCTTCCATAAATGTTATGCCTCGTTCTATTTATAATATATTGAATCTTGGTCCTTTAAAAGAGATGGGTATAATAATTCAACTTGCTAATAAGTCAAACGCTTATCTTGATGGGGTTTTGGAGGACATATTAGTTCAAGTAGACAAATTGATTTTTCCTGCGAATTTTTATGTGCTTGATATGAAGGAAGATAATTCTACTAATTCACCTCCGATATTGTTAGAAAGGCCATTTTTTAGAACATCTAGAACTAACATTGATGTTTACTCTGGAACACTAACTATGGAATTTGATGGCAATATTATAAAATTCAATATTTATGATGCCATGAAATATCCTAATGAATCTCATTCAGTCTTTGTTCTAGATGTAATTGACTTTTTGATGCAGCAAACTTTAGAACTAACTGATGATGATGTTTTGAAAGCCACTATTACCAGTGGTCTTGATCGAAAGTATATTCAAAAGATAAGAGGAATGTTTGACTTTTCCCTTGAATTGCAAGAAACTAGTTTTGAATTAGATTCTCTTAAAACTATAGGATATGATGTGCCTTTATGTTGAATTGCTACGGTCTCATTCAAAACTTTTACTATCTATTGTACAGGTCCCAAAGTTGGAATTGAAGTAATTACCAAGTCATCTAAAATACGTATTTTTCAGGGAAGAAGGCACACGTCCAGTGATTATTTCTTGCAAGCTAACTATTTTAGAAGAAGAAAAGCTAATTAGGGTGCTAAAAGATCACAGGGAGGCAATAGGATGGACTTTGGCAGATATCAAAAGACTAAGTCCAACCACTTGCATGCACTAAATCTTATTGGAAGAAGATGCTAAACCTTCAAAAGCAGCTCAACGTAGACTAAACCCACCAATAATTGAGGTAGTAAACAAGAAGATTTAAAACTCCTTGATGCAGGTATAATTTATCTAAATTCGGATAGTAAGCGGGTAAGTTCTATACAAGTAGTTCCTAAAAAGACAGGAATAACAGTTGTTGAAAATCCAAATGGTGAGTTAATGCCTACTCGCATTCAAAATGGATGGCAAGTTTGTATAGCTTTTCGAAAATTAAATGCATTAACTCAAAAGGACCATTTTTTAGTACCCTTTATTGATCAAATGCTAGAAAGGTTGGTAGGAAAATCTCACTATTGTTGCCTTGATGGTTTTTCGGGTTTTCTTCAAATTCCAGTAGCACCTGAGGACCAAGAGAAAACCACTTTCACTTATCCATTTGGTACATATGCATATCAACAAATGCCCTTCGATTTTTGCAATGCCCCTGCTATATTTCAGAGGTGTATGGTTAGTATATTTTCTAACTATGTAGAAAAATTATAGAAGCGTTTATGGATGATTTTACGGTCTATGGTGATTCTTTTGATGCATGTTTAGTTAACCTCACTAAAATACTTGAACGGTGTGTCGACACAAATCTTGTTTTAAATTATGACAAATGTCATTTTATGGTAGATTAGGGTATAATTTTGGGACATGTGGTGTCCTCTAAAGGAATTGAAATAGATAAAGCAAAGGTAGAAGTTATTAAGTGCTTACCTTACCCTGCAAATGTGTGAGAAGTTCGTTCTTTTCTTGGTCATGTAGGTATCTACCGACGCTTTATTAGAGATTTTCCGAAAATATCTCATCCTCTGTGCCAACTACTTCAAAAGGATGTAGATTTTAATTTTGATGAAGCATGTAAAGTTCCTTTTGATACACTCAAGGAATCACTGATCTCAGCACCAGTTGTCCAACCACCAAATTGGAGTCTACCTTTCAAAATTATGTGTGATGCAAGTAATTATACTGTTAGTGTTGTACTTGGCCAAAAAGATGGGAGAGCGTCTCATGTCATTTATTATGCTTCAAGAATTCTAGACAGTGCTCAGTGCAATTATTTGACAATGGAAAAAGAACTTTTAGCTATAGTTTTTACTTTAGCGAAATTCCGTTTGTACTTACTTGGTGCTAAAGTAATTGTCTATTATGATCATGCAGCACTTAAGTACTTATTCACCAAGTGGATTCTTCTACTCCAAGAATTTGATTTAGAAATTCGGGATAAAAGAGGTGCTGAGAATTTAGTTGCAGATGACTTCAGTCGATTGGTCACAAGTGAGAAACCCACATCTTTGCAAGATAATTTTCCAGAGGAGCATCTCCTTGCCATTCATAAGCTAACTCCATGGTATGCTGATATAGTTAATGATTTAGTTACTAAGACATTACCTAATGATTTATCTGGAGTTCAGAAAGATAAAATAAAAAGTGATGCTAAACATTATGTGTGGGATGAACCATACTTCTGAAAATATTGTTCTGACCAAGTAGTCATAGGTGCATTTCTGAAGAGGAGATTCCTTCTATTTTCTCTTTTTGTCACTCATATGCTTATGGAGGACATTTTGGTCCTAAAAGAACTGCACGTAAAGTTTTAGAACGTGGCTTATTTTGGCCAACTTTGTTTCATGACTCTTACATGTTTTGTAAAACTTGTGGAAATTATCAAAGACAAGTAATCTAGGACATAGAGACCAATTGCCCCTTGTTCCGATACTTGTTTGTGAAATATTTGACATATGGGGTAATGATTTTATGGATCCATTCCCCTCGTCTTTTGGCCATGTTTATATTCTTCTTGCTGTAGATTACATTTCAAAGTGGGTTGAAGCTAAGGCTACTCGGACTGATAACGCTAAGGTTGTGGTAGATTTTGTCAAATCTAACATTTTTGTTAGGTTTGGTACGCCAAGAGCAATTATTAGTGATGTGGGAAGCATTTTTGTAATCGCATAGTGGAGGCATTGATGAAAAAATATGGTGTCACTCATCGTGTTTCTACTTCATATCATCTGCAAACCAGTGAGCAGGCTGAGATTTCCAATAAAGAAATCAAATCTATACTTGACAAGACGGTAAATCCAAATAGGAAAGATTGGAGTCTGCATTTTGATAATGCATTTTGATAATGCATTTTGGACCTATCGAACAGCCTATAAAACCTGTCACCTTCCTGTTGAGATGGAACATAGGGCGTATTGGGCAGTGAAACATTGCAATATGCGGATGGATGATGCGATAGAGGAAAAAAATTACAGTTACAAGAATTGGAGAAAATTCGAAATGATGCCTATGAGAACTTAGGAATTTATAAGGAGAAGTGTGAGAGCTTGAGAAATTATATATATACATATGTACACATTATATATTTTTTAATTTATTTTATTTTCATATGTTACCAAAAGCATTGCATACACCAAATAATCATCAAATTATATGTTAATTGATTTCTTATAAATTGAATATATAGAATACCCTAAATTAGTGTAAGAAAATTCTTATAGGGATACACCAACTAAAATAAGATAAAATTTGAGGCAATACTTGAAGAGAATATAAATACAACTCCTTAACAAGTAAATAAGCTAACACTAAAAGACCCTTCTAACCATAGGACTTGATCAAACTATCATGCAACCTATTAGAAATCTAGTTTCTTAAGTAATGACCAAGAGAAAGAAAGAGCTCTGCCATTTTAGACTTCAACCGAGGGCAAAAACAAGAGAGAAAACAGAATACTAGGCTATCTACTGTCTTCTGTGACGCACCGAAAAAAAAGAGTGTGAGAACCCGTAAAAACCCTAATATTTTCCTAGGGTTTTAGTTCCTTTAATTGCATAATTTTTGCATTTCTGGCTTAGAAATATCATCTGGGTGGATTTTATGAGCAATTATAGTTTTAAGATGATTTTTCTAGCATTGGT